CATCAAAAACTTCCCAATAAGGGCTGCCTTCAGATGTCTTCTAAAAGTTGAGTAGTTCTTTATCTCCTTGACATCTGATGGGAGGGCATTCCACAGGAAGGGTGCCACTGCTGAGAAGGCCTTCTGTCTGGTTCCCTGTAACTTCACTTATTGCAGTGAGGGAACCACCAGAAGGCCCTCAGAGGTGGACTTCAGTGTCCAGGCTGAACGATGGGGGTGGAGATGCTCCTTCAGGTATACTGGCCCAAGGTCAGAAGAAACACATTGAATTGTGCTCAGAATAACAACAACAACAACAACAACAATATATTATTATTATTTATACCCCGCCTATCTGGCTGGGCTTCCCCAGCCACTCTGGGCGGCTTCCAAAAGAATATTAAAATACATCAAACATTAAAAGCTTCCCTAAACAGGGCTGCCTTCAGATTTGTTGTTGTTCTCTTTGACATCTGATGGGAGGGCGTTCCACAGGGTGGGTGCCACTACCGAGAAGGCCCTCTGCCTGGTTCCCTGTAACTTGGCTTCTCGCAGTGAGGGAACCGCCAGAAGGCCCTCGGTGCTGGACCTCAGTGTCTGGGTAGAACGATGGGGGTGGAGACACTCCTTCAGATATACTGGACCAAGGCCGTTTAAAGGTCAGCACCAACACTTTGAATTGTGCTCGGAAACTTACTGGGAGCCAATGTAGGTCTTTCAAGACCGGTGTTATGTGGTCTCTGCGGCCGCTCCCAGTCACCAGTCTAGCTGCTGCCTTCTGGATTAGTTGTAGTTTCCGGGTCACCTTCAAAGGTAGCCCCATGTAAAGCGCATTGCAGTAATCCAAGCGGGAGATAACCAGAGCATGCACCACTCTGGTGAGGCAGTCCGCAGGCAGGTAGGGTCTCAGCCTGCGTACCAGATGGAGCTGGTAAACAGCTGCCCTGGACACAGAAATATTATAAATCTAGTAAATGAAGTTATAAATATAATAAATGAAGAGATATGGAAGGAAGGTGACTGATCTGTGTCAGCCTCATCTTCGCAAGCAGACAGAATCACAACCAATGGTAAAAGGATCTCATAAGTTATTGACTCTCAACAAAGTTACTTTGGAATAAGCAGTTTTATAGCACAGATTACATGGATTACATGTATTGTCATGGTAACAAGCCAATTGCATCAAGGAAGCTGATCAAAGTCTCAGGTTCAGCAATTCCATATCCTTGCATCCTGACTTAGAAGTCAGTGAGCAGCATGATGCATTTCTCTGCCTCAAATGATAAAACATCACTTTCAAAGCCTAATATGTTGCACCATCTGGTGCACATACTGAGGAGACTATGGACTCCGCCATGTGAAGCTCAAAAGCAATTTGTTGCCTTCGGATCTATCGAAAATACTAACTACCTTTCAAATTATGCAACTTGCTTACTGGATTCATTTTGTCCATTCCTTATTTCCAAAGGTGGACCAGAGTTGATGTCTTGCACAGAATACTAATTCTGCCCCCATGCAAATCTTGGTGCATCTTGGGTTATACTGGAGTAAGCAGCAGCAAATATTATTTATATCCTTGTAATGGCAACATACCATAACTGAGAACAATGGAAATGAATACATAGAAGGCACAGAACAAGAGTAGGGTGATAGAACCCCTTGTACCAAGATTGGGACCACAGTGATGAGGCTAAATGGTGATGTGGTATGTTCCACTGCTAAGGGATTCTCTGTAAGGGGAAATTCAAATAGCTCCATTTTTGGTAGTTGGTGGGCAGCCAAAACATTTTTATTCTGCCAGCTTTTGACAAGTTTTTAACCGTTTAGTAACTCCAGTGGTAGTATTCAATGCCAGATCTACTCAGAGTAGACCCTCTGAAATTCATGGACATGACTAGCTTAGGTCCGTTCACTTCAGTGGGTCTGCTCTGAGGATAACATAGGTGACTACAACGCTTCTGCTCTTCTGATGCTGGTTTTTATTGTATTATGATATATACTGTGAACCACCTTGGAAGCCCTTTTGGCTCCAAAAATTAGATTTTTTTAAAAAATAAGTATCAATACAATACATGAACAATGTAGTCTCAGAAACTTCCATCATATGTGGTGACTTAAGACACTAGCCCAGAAGTGGTGGCATAAGGGAACAGGCATGTCCTAAAGGAAACAGAAGCCCCGACTGAGGAGCAGAAGATCACAAACATCTGTATGACAATTCCAGGCTTCGGCCTGCATCCTGAACTAATGGTTTACTCCACCTGAGTAAGCAACCTGGACCTTACTAAGGAATCAACTCATCCACCAACCAACCTTTCCAACTCTACTCATTCAACAAATCCTTATATTGAATAATTGCTAAAGAGATGTGTTGTGCCTTAGGAGTCTACAGCTCTAGGCCAAAGCATAGCCTGTTTAACCACTATTTGCCCATGAGTTTGGGGATATAGCTGAGAACAGCTGTTAGAGACTGCAGCTTGGTTGACCTCTGAAGCTCATCAGAGCAACTGGTCTGCTGCATTTGAGCTACCTGGAATCTGGTGGGTCCCCCATCTGATTTGAAATGCTGATGTGAATGCCAACACTGAGGTATGCTGATGATCAGTTAAGTATCTTTTATTATTAAATTTGTATACCATTCTTCATCCGTAGATGTCAGGGCAGTTCACAGCATAAAAAGTAGTGTAAAATTTTTTATAAGAATTTTAGAAGACCTATACTGTAACTCTGCTGTTTATAGCCATCTTTTAAAACAAAGCAAAGCAAAACATCTCAGCAACATCTGACTAAGCAGTACGATTGCGTAATACAAGGTTCGGAACACAGTATTACCAACCAGCGCCACATGTGTTGATCACTGACTGGGTAGCCAGTATTGTGGGTGGGCCTGACAGCAGATTGCAACACAGTTTTTGCTTAAGGCACTGCACCACTGCTAATCTGGGCTGTTCATGATAAACAGTGAGGGGGGTTGCAAGCTGGCACAAATTAGACCAGCCTAGCCCACAGCAATGTTGCTTGATGCTCATTTTAAGCATTGCTTCTGTGAAAGTGACTTTCTGTTTTTTAAGGGCAAATGGTTTCCAAAAAGAGCCTCGCCACCAAGACACTCCCTTCCTCCACATCACCTCCACGTCAGGCTGTGGTGTATGGTAGCATTGATCTCTTTGCTTCTAACCTTCATTAATTTTACGCATCCCTGAGGGTGGAGCAGCTTTGGTGCCAGCTAATTAAATGCTATTTAGAGCTGCTCAGTGCATTTTATCAGACCAGAATGAACTCTTTTGTTTTAATGGAATCTACAAGGATTCCTTTCCCAGCTATTTACTAATTAAACGATGCTGTAAGATTTTCTATTAGGTTTTAAACTTCAAGGCAACTCAATAGCGTGCTGGAATTCAGGTAAACAGTCACAAAGGGGGGAAATCCTTTTCACATTTGGTTACTGGTTGGCATCCCTATAAACATAGTTTAAATTTTCCTTTCATCTGACTCTGTATACATAATGCAGCTTTGAAAGGTGCTAATGAAGTATTGGAAAAAGCTGTCAGTTTCTGAGCATCTCCACAATCATAAAAATGAAAAGGCATTATTTATGCACAACAATTATTCAGAAAGAAGGAAAGTTCATACTGCCTTAAACATATAAATATTTCCCTAATGAGGGTCTGCAAAAAAGAACAAATTTTTCTTCACGTTCACACCATCATGGTGTCAACAACAATAGCCAGATTTTGACAGCCTGTTTCAGAAGTTATTCTGTGTTCAGATTAGGTAAACAGGGAATCTGTTTTGGAATGTGACAGGTTGGTGGACATTAGCTCCTTAATAGAGGCTGGTTTTAGCCTCTTTCACCAACTAATATTAATGACTGATTTTTAAATGCTTTGGTTATTTGCATCACAGACCTGTTTGCAGCTCATTCCTGATCGCTTTTCCCCCACCACCAGGTAGTTCAAAATTGAGATAATCTTGTGCTAGAAATACTTTGTTTCTCAAGATCAACTAACATCTAAGTGTCATTAGAGGCTTGTCAGGCTAGAAATATCTTATAGCAATACACTGGTGGTGCACAGCATGTATACAGTTGATATTTTAGGAATAAACCTCTCTGGTTCCAAGTAAAGTTTTACATTTGTGTACTATAGGAGTGAGGGATGTGTTAAACCCACAGAGCCTAGGGCTTGCCGATCAGAAGGTTGGTGGTTCAAATCCCCGCGATGGGGTGAGCTCCCATTGCTCGGTCCCTGCTCCTGCCAACCTAGCAGTTCAAAAGCACAAAGTGCAAGTAGATAAGCAGGTACCGCTCCGGCGGGAAGGTAAATGGCATTTCTGTGTACTGCTCTGGTTCGCCAGAAGTGGCTTAGTCATGCTGGCCACATGACCCGGAAGCTGTACTCAGCTAGTAAAGCGAGATGAGCACCGCAACCCCAGAGTTGTCCGCGACGGGACCTAATGGTCAGGGGTCCCTTTACCTTTACCTTTACTATAGGAGTGGCATTTGGCTTCCCTGTAACTTGGTTTGCAGCAAAATCAGTGCACTGTTTAAAGCAACAACGGAAGTGAGGGCTGTTGTTTCTCTGAGGAAACTACAATATCTAGCTTAAGTAACAAAAGTAAGAAAAATTGAGAGTCTGAAACCGATAGAGTGAACAAATGTCTAAAGGTTTGGCAAGGCACACACAGCCATTTCCCCTCACATATGGAGCTAAGTTATTCTTTGACAGCTTACCCAGTGGCTCAGATTCAGAACACACTTCACTGTCACATTCAAGGCCTCTCAATGGAGTGAGGAGCTGAAAGTATAACATATGGAACATGGCAAAAGAGTCAACATGGCCTAGTGGACAACACTGACTTTGATCCAAAAATCATGAGTTTGAGTCCTTTCCCTGCAATGGACACATTTCAATGGCCTTCAGCAAATTACTTATTTGTGGGCACGTACAGTAAACAACTCAACAATGGCAAATCCTTTTTTGACATTGGTATATGTTTTCAATCTGCCAGGCAGGACTTACCTGTCTTTCCCAGTTTCCTTCTTAAATACTTCATCACAGTAACTCATGCGCTGCTCTGTGGTCACATAGATTTTTGCCCCAGGGTAGCTGTCCACAGTCTTCTTCAGCATGTTGTACACAATGCCACTGCCATCCTTCCTCATGTTTCGAAAAGGTCCCCAGATGACATAAACTGTGCTGTTGGTTTCCTTGAAAAAATATTCAGGATTCTTAAGCAGAAGAGGAACACTGGTGTGGGAGACGACTCTCACGGTGGTCCGCTTCCCAACATCTTCTTCATAGCCCTTGGTGGGAGCATTGTTCATCCTCCAGATACAGGAGGACTGGTCAATTTCAAATCCTACTTTCTGTTCAGACATCTGACCTGAATTTGAAATGATGGCACACAGGTCACAGTCCAGTTGTAGAGGCTGGTGAGGGAGGAAGAGAAGAGAACAAAAATAAACTGTCAGTTTCTGGGACAGCCACTTCCCAGAAATCTATGCTCCTGCCTCATCATGTGACAAGGCATGTTACCCAACCCAGTGCCTGCATGGCACCAGAAACAAATCAACCAACATTTCAGGTGATTCAAGGGCAGAGCATTCTAAGACCAACACTGATACTGATTTGTCAATGCTTAGCTTCTCTGTCGCTGGATCAGTACCAACACTACAGAAACTAAAGAGACTTGAGGTTAAGAGTCTCATAGTACATACAATGTCATTGCCTGGCCCCAAAAAACTGACCATGATGGCACCAGGCATATTTCTCTAGGGAGGGCATCCACAGATGGGAAGCCACCATTGGAAAAGCCCATTCTCATGCACCAATTAGTCAAAGAGAAGGAAAAGAAGTTGAGACAGGCCGGGGGCAAAGTCTGGGATTAAAACTTAGAAAGGTAGTCAATAAAATACCCATGGAACTATTAAAGCCAAGGCAGGAATGAGGTTCTGTGAGATTCCATGCTGGAGCATGTCAGTTATGCAGCTAAAATCTGTGCAACCAGAAAAGTGCAGGGTGGAAGTGAGAACTTTGGAAGTTCAGCAATTGTAGCATGTATATACAGAGAGAGAGAGAGAGAGAGAGAGAGAGAGAGAGAGAGAGAGAATATGAGAGGATTATAAATGCTAGAACCCTGTGGAGGATTTGAGGCAAATAATTTTACCTAGCCCATTAGAATGCAGACATGATTATTAGAAGACTAACATGATTACATGCTGTTGTTGGATAATATGCATTTGCACTCATGGTGTCTGGTTGGAAGAGTGCTGTAAAGAAAATAGAGAGGGAAAGTACAACACAGTGGCAGCGAGGAGAAAAGGAGTCAACTCCCACGTGGCAAAGCAAGTGAAGCTATTTAATAACAGGATGACAACAAAGCCATCAGGGAGACTTTCTCCTGCTTATATTATCACTGAACATTGAATAAAATGTAATCTCTGCCCTCTGCAATTTTACGTCAACTAGATAATAATTGTTTGCATTATACTGCACAAGATGCCTCCCCCCCTCATTTTTTAAAGGTCTAGAACTGAAGGTATGTAATGTGTTTTTGGTAGAAAAGTTGCTTTTTGGTCAAGGTGGTCTCTGCGGAAACTGTACTGGCTTGACAATATTGATCAAAAAGAATATGCGTACAGAGGTAATACATTCTAGAGATATAAAAGCTATTTATTATTAGCTCTGTGAGGAAAAGATCTATTACGGTCATTAGGGTCTTTAATAATAAATGGAGCAAAGTAATTTGCCACTGCCGGAATCATTTTTGTCATCTAATCATACTGCTGCCCAGGTACATCTTGTCAATATTGTAGTGTCTGTGTTATCTCTGAATTTAAGTATTTCATAATGACATGGTAATTATGAATCATTTGAAAAACATACCTTGTTAGCTATTGGCTGTTTTTGTGCATAATGCTAAGCCATTAAACGATTGCTAAGAAAATTGCAGAGCATTCCACTGTGAAGCACCTGACTCTGTCCCACTAAACTGTGCATAGGTGGAAGCTACCACAATAAGTTTCCTTGTAGGTGGGAGCTGGTCTATCAGGGGTGGGAAGAGGGCAGGGTTGGACTGGCCATGGACCTGCTGGAGCTTAAGCGGATTCAACTACCAACAAGTTGTGCCAATGAGCATGATCCTGTCAGCAAAACTACAGAGGATGGTTGTCTACTAATGCATGCTGTCTGTGCAAGCATTTCCATTTGCACAACAGAACTTCTCCCATTCTTCCCTTCCCCAGGTGCCCTCCCTAAATCTGCTCCGTTGGGTTGGAGAAATGCCTAAAATGGATTTAGGAGGAGCAGAAGGAGCAGAATGGCAAAACAATCTATTGCAAAAGCAGAAATATTTGTCCAAATGGCACCATTGCATCAGCAGTATGTTGGATCCACACAGAAGTTTCCTGTCTTGTCCCTCACTTCCCACAAGAATCGCTAAGAAGAAATAGCAACATAAAAAACACTGAAGGAAAAAGGCCTCCTTATAGAAGAATGGGTCTCTGTATGCTTGCTTGGTTGTTGTTCACTGTTCATTTTCCTTTTTAAAAAATGTTCATGTGGAATGTAACAAATCAACCTACTGGAACATTGCCTTTCCCCTTTATATTGTCTTGTGGTTATTTTGTAAAATCTAGCTCAGCAATCTGTGCAATCATGTGCAGGCATCTAAGAAGGGATTTCTGCAACTGAGAGTGGTGAAGTAGAAAGGTTGGTCTGGTTTAACTGCCTCTACTGGGGTCAAACTTGTGTTTGCAAACACCAAGAAGAGGGTGGGTGTGTACTCACATGTGATCTACACACACACTGCCAAAACATACAAGAAATTGAACTGTTGTTTGTATATGCTTTAGGTCAAACATCATTAACTGGATAAAAGGAAATCCATTTTTAAAGAGCACCTATTGCCATCAAAATAAATTCAGTTCAAGCCTTTATTACTGACCATCCAATTGCTTTAGAAGCCTTCTAGATTAAAGCTTTTGCCACCTTAAATATCTGTCACATTCTACTGGATCTGCTGTTGGCTTTATTATTTGACCCTCTCTAGTTTTGCTTGTTTGGTGTCTTGACTTCAGGATTTGCACAGCTGTGTCATCACCACCATCTGTTGCTACAAAACTGATGAGCAATAATAATGTCAGTGGGACTGGTGTGGAATAGTGATTCTGCCAGAGGATTTTGAACACGATGTGGATTAATATGACCTGTTTACAAACTGATGTTTTAATAAGTTTACTACGTTTATCTGTTTATAATCATGACTCAATCTACAATGGCTTTTTCAGAGCTTTTTCTCAATATTGATGTTTCTTGCATGAACCATCTGTGATCGATAGTACACACTGGCAGCTTCATACAAGCAAGACTGTCATGAGATACTTGAGGATATCAAATTAAGCACTTTATTTTTTAATATACCCAAAGGCTGCACCTGCCAAATGGGATCGCCATATTGATGCTCATCACTTAAATGATGCAAAGTAGTAACTTCAATGAAATATGTTCTGAAGGCTACCTTTCTATTGCTTCTAGAAGCAGGAAAATCTCCATAAAGTGTTCCTAGTTGAACTCTTGTGTGTTATCTTAGGATACTATGGACATATATTCTCCCTGGAGTAATTAATGCTATGCCCCAATTGTAGAGAATTCATATACAGTGGTACCTATGGTTACGTACTTAATTCATTCCAGAGGTCTGTTCTTAACCTGAAAATGTTCTTAACCTGAAGCACCACTTTAACTAATGGGGCCTCCTGCTGCTGCTGCTGTGCCACCGGAGCACAATTTCTGAAGCAAGGTAATATTAGGAGCACAATTTCTGAAGCAAAGTTCTTAACCCGAGGTAATATTAGCGGAGTCTGTAACCTGAAGCGTATGTAACCTGAGGTACCACTGTACAAATTTATATTCACATAAGGTGATAATTAACTGAATCACACTCAGTGACTAAGCCCATTGTTTTCAGTGAGTTTACCCTGATTATGACTTAAGTCAGGTACCATCTATAACATTTCCCATGAGTTGGCGGTCAAAGCCAAAATGACTATTTGAGGAAAGGTCCTATCTGTTATAGCAGAGATGGGGGCAGAATCTGTCATCTTAATAGATGGGCAGGACCACTCAGCTGTCAATCACTTGACACCCAACTTCAAAGGAAATAATTGAGAGTGCACTCCCAATTCTTTGCTTTCTTCCTTTGGAGTCACAATTAAACACAAGCTGCCAGGTCCCCCCGCCAAGGAAAATTCCTGCTGAAAGGGGCTTGCAGTTAACATCAAGCAGCTGATTAGTGCTTACTGCAAACCCTGGTGAGATCTGACTGTGCAATTCCTGAGTGCAGTCAATCCCAGCAGAGTTTGCAGCTGAAATTGATTCAAACCCCACTTTGGACAGGCATCGGATGCACTTGGGAGTTGCCACTAGGGAGCTCCCAAGTGCAGCAATGTCCCAGTGGGCTTTGCATTTGACACCAAGTTTATTTTCCCCCATATACAAGCCATACTAGCCACGGAACAATTGAGTGCACTTTAAGGCTCCTAGTTGTTCCTTTGCAGGCATGTCTTTATCAGCCTCACATCTGACACCCTACATGCCAGCTTCTCATTAGCACAATGGTAACATTACATAAAACTGAAATTCTGGAATTGGTTGCATCATAATAATTCCCCCCTGCAGCTTCTGAAATGAACAATGATTTCTAGTGAAAAAGGGGAGGCAAGAAAATGTTCAAGCAGCCATTGTCCATAATGCAAAGTCCAAGGAAATATTTCTGGAAGTATTACTCATATTAAATGATGCCTAAAAACCACTCTGAAAAATATGACCAGCATAGCTGTTCATGCACAATAATCAGCTATTGCATACACTTGCTTGTTTGGACTGCTCTTACAGAAATGAATTTTGGCTTGCATGCATGTAATAACAAGCACACCCAGCCCCACACATCAGCATGGCCCCATCTCCTTGTGAACCCCATGTTATTGCTCCTGCTTTCCCTGATACCAACACTAAAGCAAGCCAACTTTTCAAGAGCTAAATCCCTCCCTTGAAAAGCTCTGATCCTCCAGGAATCATTGTATCTGTTCAAAATGCAACACTAAGATACTGAGATGTCTTTGAATGTCTTCCTGTCATCTTGTTTGACTGCAGAACCATGCTGCTGAGCAGAACTACTGCAACTCTGATTCACTCTGGGTATGTATAGAAAAGACCCACCCTATTTTTTTTTTAAAAAAATGCAACATGTATCAGTTGCAGAGCACTTACATTTAAATCCGTAAAGGAACAATGGAATGTTTGACCTTTCCATTTTCCACTAGAGCTTGTGGTCAAGAGAAAGCATAATTAAAATGGTGAATTAGGACTTGAAAAACAATGAGATTTCCCTTGCAAAGAGATAGCTATATAATAAAGGTCACTTATGAAG